ATAAAGGAAATATTTTTCGATGGACAATTTAGATTTGAAATTGGATCATCTTTCTCTTAGTGAAACAGCATAAACCGAACTAGTACTTGGGAAAAGGAGGCGATTGAAATAACGATGTCCTGGCTGTGATAATAGTCCCGGCCTGTCTCTTTGAAACCCAAATGGCAGCTTCCTGAAGAGATACAGCAATGAACAGTTTGCCAAAGTTCAACTTTATCTGCTATAGACAACAGGCAAGTGCTCTTTATAATCAGAGAGAGCACTGCCCAATGCCGAGAACCATGGCTGAATGAAAACAGATATTTGTTAAAATAAAAAAAAAAATAAAAAATAAAAAAAAAAAAAAAAAAAAAATCAACATCTTGTCTATTTACATTATTTTCATTGCTGTCCTCATCTTTACTGTCACATTCACGACATTTCGGCTGTTGTACACTCCAGGCCTTCTTCAGATGATATTTCTTGGAATTTTGAACAAAACTATTTATTTACTCCATGTGGATAGATTGTTCTAGTTCCACATGCTATGCCTTTTCTACATATAGCTCTCTGTACTACTGGTTTGCATATTGTATTCATTTCTATGCTTGGTCAGCTTAGGAGATTTTTGTGGCATAGTATATACTCTGATTCCTTAAGTTTTCATATTTTCCAGTGATGTTCTAGGTCTACTATTTCAGCTTCATTCCCACAGAGGGTGGTGGTCTCCTTTTTTTACTTTTTTCTCTGAAATGTTATGAATGTGAAAATAAAGGAGCACAACAGTCTGAAAAATGTAAATATTGCAGTTACAAGGCTTTGTCTCAAAGAGATATCGACAGATGTCTGTATTTCTAAGTTTTATATCAAACTTGATTATAGACATCACAATCAAAGACGCCCAATCAGTAAGTTGCTTTCTGAAAGTAATGATTCATATTTGTGCTGATCCACAATGGCAGAGACAGATGTTGGTAGCATGGCAGTAGTGGTTGAACCTTCTCAATTAGCAATAATTTTTTTTTTGTTTTTGCCTCGTTATATTTAACAGAAGTCTGGCAAAATGGTGTGTGACATGAAAGTGTATAGAGAGAAATGTAACGTTATGGAAAAAAAAACTTTTTTTTTTCACCCACCGACATTCATCAATGCTTGTTGAACATTTATGGAGACCACATAGTGGATATGAACACAGCCAGTGGGTAATATACTTCAGTAGTAGAAAACAGCAATGTGTTTGATAAGCCATGTTTACAGGCATGGTATGCAGGTTCTTGCTTATCACTGGTGGAAATGGATAGCCAATAGCGAGGAGGATATGGAGAAAAAAAAAAAAATAGAAAGTATTTTGCAGTTGAAAATTTGCTCTATTAAATGGTGTTATTGTGCTCCCTGTATCTGTTGTTGATTTTGTAGAAATAAATAAGAGATGTTTTATCTGCGTGTTTTGGCCTTGAAGGTATTTGTCAGGCATCTCAAGAAAGATATATACGATAACAAATTTGGAGATTATAACCGAAGGGGTTTCATTCTTTGTACACTACTGAACTGGCATCTTGGTTTCATTTTTTTTTTTTTTTTCGCACTTGTCCCAAAGTAGCTTCTCTCTACATTTTCTATAAGTATTTTCATGGTAATTGTTCTGATGAGTACCTAGACTTTACAAATTTAAGCGCAACACTAGATTGGCGGAAAGCTCTTGCCAATTGAAATGACTATATATAACCGTTTCTTCTCTCGCACTTCTCGCTTGTGGAACTCTTGTTCAGCTCTGTTTTCCATTTAGCTTTAAAATTTTAAATGCAATGTCAATCGTTATCTACTGTCTTCCTGATTACTTTTATTGTTCTTACTCCTTAGTAACGTTTCTGTTTTCTAATTCTTCCACGCCCAGTGTCTTAGTGGCTTTGCTATGCATGTAGAGATTCTTGATAAACTCCAAAGAATCTGCAATGTTATTAGTCCTGACATGGCATCTCAGCTTCAGTCACTTTTCCACCACTGTAACGTAGCTTCTTTATGCCTTTACTATAAATACTTTCATGGAAAGTGTTCTAATGAACTTTCCTCTATTTGTATCAGGGCTTTATAAATTTAAATGCAGTACTAGATTGGCAGCAAGGTCTCATCATTTTATAGTTTGGAAGGGCTAAATGTAAGTTCTTCTCTTGGAATATTTCAGCTTCAGTCACTTTCCCACCAGTGTAACATAGCTTCTTTATTCCTTTACTATAAATATTTTCATGGTAATTGTTCTGACGAACTTTCCTCTATTATATCCAGAAATGCATTACTAGATTGGTGACAAGATCTCATTTTACAGCTGAAATGGCCAGATGTAACCATAAGTTCAATGCTGACAGATTTTTTTCTTGCATTCTCAATTGTGGAACTCTCTTGCTTCCCTCAGTCAAATTTTGATCATCAAAAATTTAAATGCAATGCCAATCATTACCTCCTGCCTTCTTGATTCCTGCTTTTATTGTTCTCTCTCCTTGATGGTAGTTTTTCTTTTTCACATATTCTTTTGCACTTAGTAACCCCTCATGTCTTGGTGGCTTTATTGCAGTGAAATGATTAGAGAAGAGAAAATTACTTAAAGAGTAACAAGAAAAATGCAGCAAGAAAAACCTTATTCTCTCCAGGTCAAAATTTCTACAGAATGCAAAATACAACTATGTTAAAGACATTATTACCATTCAGACTGACACCTTAATCTTTGTTGTCATTATCACAATGTTTCTGCCTTCTTCCGGCCTTCTTCAGGTGTTTTCCCCTGCGATAATAATCTAGTGCACTGTTTCAACCTTTTTATCCTTGTGGAACTGTTGAAATAGTTTTTATGTTTTTAAGGAGCCCCTGCATAAAAATTATTATATACCAATATATCTGTCCAACCCTGTTTTGAAAAATGCAATGGATTTAGGTAATATTACTAAAACTCAAAATTAACCCATTTTTGTGCACATCAGCTCTGATTTGAATTTCCACACTCACATATATTAACCAATCAGCAGCATTATTTTTAAACACACTGAGACCATTGAAATTTTCAGAAAACTAGTCTGCTACAAAATTTGTAGGATCACTCCAGAAAATGATTAACAATATTTTCCTTCATAAAAATAGATATTTGAAAAATTGGGAAAAATATTTATTAACCAATAAACTTTTGAGTTTTGTAAAATCAAATTTTTTATTTCTCAAGCCCACTTATAAATATTTGTGATGTTAAATTAGTTATTAAAGTTGACCAGGAGTGGTTATTCATTGTTGGAGACAAGCTGAATTCTCACAACCTTTTGTATAATTCACTATGTAACATTTCACATATTTTATTCCTGTAATTTCTTACAAAGCCTAGCAATTTAAAAGCAAATTAAGGCTAACTGAGCATACTTAAAACATACAGAGTTTATAAACACAATATTAAGCAGTAGTATAATGCAACTATCAGACACTGACAGCTGCTACTAGAAAATTACATGCATTCATAAAACAACGTAAATACGTTACACTTTATGTAAGCACATCTTGTTTCTATCATACTAACACAATTGATTTGGTTGTATTGTAAAAAAAAAAAAAAAGAAAATATTTTTGGGTGAAGTTGTTTTGGAAAGATTCTTTGTAATTCTTTGATTTAATTTGAAAGAAAACAAATGCTCAATAATAAAATTCATTTCAATTTGTAGAGTAATGTTTGAAGATTGTTTTCACATGCCTAAAGCCCTACATATCTCTTTTATAGTTTCATCATAGTTCATGTAGTAAACATAATATAGGGACACTTATCCTGTATGCGAGTGAAAGACTTGATGATATACAAATCCACCACATACAGGTCCTGTCCACTGACTAGTGAAAGTCGTTTCACACTGATGCCATATAAACATCACTGAATACATTCCCTATGGTTATCGTAATTTTAAATAAGAGGTTGAAGTCCTTATTATAATAACTGAAGATTTTCCAACAATATGCTGTATGTGTATAGTAACATTATGAATATAAAGTTAAATAAAAATTACTCAAAAAGATGCATTAGCCAATCTGTCAAGGTTTCTTGCAGCCTCCCAGAAACCTATTGTGGAAGCCCCGGGTTTTGAGACACACCGGTTGAGAAAGAGTAGTCTAGTGGATTAAAGTGTTGCTTTGTGAATTCGATGTCATAGTTATTATTAATTCAATTAGGGGGCTGGGGTGTGCAAACTTTGACTGGGTGGAAACAGGGTAAACTATGAATGAGCAGCTCTAAATGAGAACAATGAGGATAAGTCAAAAATTATCCACACATTTGGCATAACATATCTTTTAGGTTAGTCACACTGCAGACATTTGGTACTATTGTGGTCATGTCATTGAAGTTGGAGCTTGATTGTGAAAATTTTCTTGCAGCTGTTACAGTGTAAACATGGCCGCTCTGCTAGCAGTGTGCACCAAGAAGGAACAAAGAGAAGTGATCTGATTTTTCTAGTCAGAAGCTGTGTCAGGGGCTGAAATTCATTGGAAACTTTTAAAACAATACAATGACAGTGGACTGAAGTGTGTATGTGGATTGAGAAGTTTAAAAGTGTCCTGACAAATGCAAAAGGAGCAGGGTGCCTGTCAACATTCACCACTGACAAGAAGATTCATACTGCTCTTTCTTCTCCCTTGGTGCACACCGCTAGCAGAGCAGCCATGTTTAAACTGTAACAGCAGCAAGGAAACTGACGCGATCAAATTCAAACTTCAATCACATGACTACAATAGTACCAACTATAAGCACACATGAGCAGAAGGCAATGTGACAAACCGAAAGATATGTTATGGCGAAAGTACAGAATCTTTTTACTTACCCTCATACATTGATTCGTTTTTTTTTTGGTTTATCAATCCTTTGCAAGTTATTTAAAGCCAAAAAACTTTTAGTTAGCAAGAATTTATTTTTGAGATAATAGTAGTTTAATGATACAAGTTCTACTAATTAACCCATAACTGAACAATACCAAGCCATTATTACCCCCAGTACAACCAAGCTTACAGCACCTGGTATTCCCAAGTAATCACTCATCTAGGTATTAACCAGGCTCAACGTTGCTTAAATTTGGTGATCACATGGGAGCTGGTCTTTCAGTGGGATGTGACCGTAAGCCAAATAAGGAGATACCTCTAAATATATGTAGAAAAAGAACAATCTACACTTATAAATGAAATAAAGTGTTCAATTTGACATTTCATGAAGGTTACCTGGATTGACAGACACCTGATGAAGGCCAAAGAGCACAAATGCTGAAACACTGTGATAACAACAACAGTCTGAGTATAAATAATATATATAAATATTTTCTCTTACAAAGTCATCCCTGAAAGTGAGTAGTTCTATATTACTTTTGATTGGCTGTTAACTGAAAACTTTTTCATACACTTTTCATTAAGATAAAGTCTCAGATCACTACCTTTGTTTGCTGTCTGTAGCAATACAAATTTATCAAGAAGAGATTTACATTCAACTTATTTGAAAAAATTATCATTAAGACCCAATAAAATATTATACAATAACATTTTTCAATTATTCCACCTTAAATCCAAACAAGCCAGACCTTTCATTTCAACAGGTATTTTTGACATAGCAAATTTCAGAATAAGCTCACTTTTCTATACTTTTCACTATGAAACAATTTCCTATACACAATGAGTTTGCATGTGAATTTTCAGTTTATGATTTTGAGCAAAATCTTTTCCACAAATTCCACAGTGGTAAGGTTTTTCTCCAGTATGAGTTCGAAAGTGGATGTTTAATTTACTACTTTCAGCAAAAGATTTTCCACACACTTCACACTGGAAAGGTTTCTCTCCAGTGTGTGTTCTCATGTGGATTTTGACACTGTATTTTTGAGAGAAAGATTTTCCACAAACATCACATGAAAAAGGTGTCTCTCCAGTATGAGTTCTCATGTGAACTTTTAAGCTATAACTTTCTGTGAAAGCTTTCCCACATGCTTCACAGTGAAAGGGCATTTCTCCTGTATGAGTTTTCATGTGCTTTTTTAATGCACCCTTGCAAGAATAAGTTTTATCACATACTTCACAAGGAAAAAACATTTGCTCTGCATGTACCCTCATGTGTGTTTTCAAGGAAGATTTACGAGAGAAAGCTTTTCCACATACTTCACACTGAAAAGGTTGCTCTCCAGTATGAATTCTCCTGTGAATAGTTAAATGCCCACTTCGAGGATAAGCTTTTCCACAAATTTCACAGCGAAATGGTTTCTCTCCAGTGTGGTTTCTCATGTGTATTTTTAAAGTATGGCTGGCAGGGAAAGCTTTTTCACATACTTCACAAGGGAAAGGTTTTTCTTCAGTGTGTGTTCGAAAGTGTATTTTCAACTTACTGTTTTCAGAGAAAGATTTCCCACAGACATCACAATGGAATGGTTTCTCACCAGTGTGCGTTCTGATGTGTCTTTCCAAGTTGGTTTTTCGGCTAAAGTCTTTGCCACACACTTCACATTTATGAGGTATATCTTCAGCATCTGTTTTGACATTGTTTTTTAATTTATCTTTTGAAGAGACGTCCTTTCCGAGCACTGAATGTTTTTCAAGGCTGTGAGTTCGTAGATGTTCTAGAAAAGGAAAATGATCAGCAAACAATTCACCACAGTCTTCACAACAGTATTTTTTTATTTTTAGGAGGGATTCCATTTCAGTGTGAACTGTTATTGTCGTGTGAGATTCTGCAATGATTTCAAATCAAAATCTGAAAGTAAAGAAAAAAGTCAAAATATAAAAAAATTATTTTGAAAGATCAAAACATAAATACTTAATTCAAAAACTAATAATAAAAAAGTGTCTAATGCAGTCATGCACGACCTTTTTCAAACAGTGGGTTGTATGAGGTGGGTCACACTACAAAAAAAAAAAAAAAATCAAGGCAATTTTTCATGAAATATACCGCAATCATTTTATCAACAAAATACCATGTGCATCAGCATCTGACTGAGAAATGGGGAAAGTCCATTTCTTTTTTTCTTTGTAGAAAATATTCCTTCTAAAATCTTTAAAAAAAAATTTTTTTTAAATAAAAATAAAAAATTGAAATGTTGGTATAATATTATCCCTGATAAAAGAGAAGTTATTAAAACATGTTGTGGCATCTTGTTTCTGATTTAAAGTATATTTATTCATTAAAGGAAAATAATTATCATTGATGTTTTCTGTATATGAAACAAAAGGTGTTTACATATATCATCTTCCTTAGGGAAAATTGACAATGGTTTAAAATGCTGACAATGTTACTTTCAGCAAAAAAAGCTACAAAATTCAAGAAACGTTTTACCTAACCATTGTGTATCTATGCATCTAAGTGTGAGAGTGTGTAAGGTGTAAAGTGAAAAGTGTGTAAGGTGAAAAGTGTGTAAAGTGTGTAAGTTGAAAAGTGTGTAAAGTGAAAAGTGTGAAAAGTGTGTAAGTTGAAAAGTGTGTAAGTTGAAAAGTGTGTAAGTTGAAAAGTGTGAAAAGTGTATAAGGTGAAAAGTGTGTAAAATGAAAAGTCTATAAGGTGAAAAGTGTGTAAAGTTAAAAGTGTGTAAGGTGAAAAGTGAACAAGTGAAAGTGAAAGGAAATAAACAAGATTTTAATAAACTCTATTTTCCTCATGAAATTAGAGTGTGCCATTCAGAAAGCCAATAGCACCTGCATGTCGCCTGTGGCTGGTATAATGGTTGCCAAGGGGACCAGTACATGTATGGACGACCAGAAACTCAAATAAAAAAAATATTCTAAACTGATGCAATGCAAGACATCCCCCAAAACAAACACAAAGAATTAGGAAAAAAAATATAAAAAAAAAAAAATGAAGATAATGGACAATATTACATATCTGTAAAATGAGTTATAACATCAAAGATGTTGGAAAGTTGTAAACAAAAGCTAGGCTATGTGCTTGAGGATCTGAGGATCGATAGGTTGAAATTTTTCTTTTTAAGTTTGTCATTCCAAGCAAGGCGAGAGTGCCACTAGCATGCAAAGGGTTACAGGGAGTGGGAGCAAGAGTAAAAGAGGATATAAGGCATCTGGAGATGTTGATCGACATTACATTTGAATAGTTGGAGATTATAGCTATCAGGGAAGCAAGTAAGAGGAAGGGAGTTGCATAAATGGGAAGTGTGAGACATGAAGCTATTGGAGTAGAAAAGACGGCTATATTTAACCATGTAGACAGTGAAAGGGTAGGACTGAGATACTGATCTAGTGGCACGTTTAAATTCATGCAGAAATGTGTACGAATTCCTTTGTGCCTTATTGACTCAAATGCATGGGTCCTTCATTTTATCATACTTATTATAAAACCCAGAATGTGTGTGTGTGTGTGTCTGTATGTTTATATATTGGATCGGATTTCCAACATTTTTCAACCGATTTCAACAAAACTTCACAGGACTATGTAAAATTACCTTGCGGTAGTTCTGACAGCACCAAAAGTTGGAAAAACACAATTGTTTTTGCACAAGATCAATTTGAAAACACAATTACGTGTCATCGCTGTCGCGAGAATGAAAGGGGGACAACTCATATCGAGTTATACTTATTATAAAACCCAGGTTGTTTGTGTGTGTGTCTGTGTGTCTGTTTATATATGGGATTGGATTTCCTACATTTTTCAACCGATTTCAACAAAACTTCACTTTTTTTTGGCAGGTAGTGTTTCTTATTGTCTTGCACATTTTCTTTATTTTTACATTCAGAATGCTTTAAAAATTCCATTTACAAGACAACTGTTTATAATAAAATTCTATTCAATCAGTAGACTCATAACGATTGAAAACAATGTTTTTCTTTGAGTTGGGGTTTGACCAATTCATAAAAAAAAAAAAAAAAAAGAAAGTTAATTAAGACATACATGCCCGTCAACCTTAAACAATAATCTTTGTCAATTTTATTTTTCAGTCTTTATGATGGTCAATACTCCCTCGGTAATGTGGAGTCTATTTGAATACTCTACAACATATTTTTCCTTAATAATATTTATTTACACTGTTTACATTGTTCAAGCTGTTCTCCTTATCTTCATTGCCATATTCTCCAGCCTCCATCAGGTGATTAGAATTCCAAACTGAACTCTTTGTCCGCCGTGATAGATTGTTCTAGTTCCACGTGCCATGCCTCTTCCAGATGCCTTAGTATCAGTTATCTCCCTTTAAACCAACTCTCTGAGTTTTTGGTTCACCAGAGAGTAAATTGAGCAGTACTAAAGTTATTGTTTAAGAGGTTTTGCTGTTAGGGGTGAGGGTTTTTTTTTTGTTTTTAATCAACATGAATTATTTAGAGAGATTACTGACCAATCATGAAGAGCTTCTATCTGCCCTGTAGGTGAAGTCTAATGCAATTGTCTATGACTTCCAAACAATTACATCTATCCAATGTTCAATCAGGCAGACTACAGTCTTTTGATATTCCTCCCCTTTTAGATAGTGGCTGGTCTATTCCTTGCCAATGTTAATTAATTTCACAACCCCTTTCTCTCTTAGATTGTTTCCAACTCTAACATTTTTTCTCATTCCCTTGTGGTAATCCCATTGCATTTTCATATCACAAAGAGTAACTCCACTCACTCTAACAGTCTCCCTCTTTCTTCTTTGGTAAGTCCCTGGGTAAGACGATAAACTACATGCACATCCTGGGTAAGATAAACTACATCCAACAGCAAGGCCTCTGATTGGGAGGTTTTGAGGAGCGTTGGACCACATCTTAATTGCTAGTGTTCCCAGGTCCACTCTTACCCAGGCTGATACCACCTGTTAAGATCTCACCTATGGGCAAATAGTTAGCAAGCTGGGGTCAAAACACTATGAAAGTGTAAAAAATAGGTTTTAATACCAGAAATTCTTTGTAAAAAATTATTACCAGCAATAAATTTTTGAAGAAAAAGTATTACCAGCAATACATTTTTGAAAAAAAAATATTACCAGCAGTAAAAAATGTTGAATTGAAAAATGTTGGAAATCCGATCCCATATATAAACGAACACACATACACAAACAACTTGGGTTTTATAATAAGTATAACTCGATATGAGTTGTCCCCCCTTTCATTCTCGCGACGGCGATGCCTCTTAATTGTGTTTTCAAATTGATTTCGTGCAAAAACAAT